ACCAAGCAGGGGAGTACACACACCACGGATAACGCCCGTAAGGATCTTGGAACAAAGGTGACAATATTATTTGTTTGGTTTTGGGGGTTTTTTGTTCAGATTTTTTTTTTTTTTTTTTGGTATTGTTCATTGGCCTCCCACTGTTTGTGCACCTCCATTCTGGTGACTAGAGTGGGTGCCTGAGAAAGCTGACACCCGCCCCCCCAGGCCCCACCACTGGTGGGCTCTTCTGCCATGCATGCACACAGATACTCTCAGCCCAAGAGCTGGCCCTGAACTTTTTTTTATTATTTTAATAGGGAAAAGTCCAGAACAAGGGATGTGGAAAGAGAAAGAGAGTTTAAAAACAAAACAGGTTGAAAATTAAATTAAATCCTGAGATACAGTATAACAACCAACAGTGAGTGGCATCTTGAAATCCATCAGACGGCCTTGAAGTCAAGAAGCTGAAAGAGGACATTAAAGTCATACTCATATTAGGCTAGTTTTTTTTTTTTTTTCCTTCTCTCCCTCTTCTCCCTTCTCTGCGATTATAGACTACAGTATCCAGTGTAGTTTTGTTGTTGTTGTTTTCTTGTTGTTGCTGTTTTATGATCCCCCATCAACGGACTCTTTCTCTCCCTATATTACCCAAGAAGAGACAGCAACTGCTGCTATAGAGTCAAGCTACAATCACACTCTATAAAACACCAAAATCCAGGCAAGACCCATTACCAAGTGGCATACATCAGGAAGGCAGACAACACCTGTGAAAGTTACTCTGCGTTAAGCAATAAGAAGAGTGAAAAGGTAAGGCCACATCCTGATCACATCCACTTGGAGGCAATCACAGAAAGCATAAAAAATACCAGAAACACATACTCAATTAAGTATTAAGGCTACAGATAAACACTAAACATATTGAAGAAGCAAAAGCAGATGACCATATCAGCACATGCCAAAAAAACAAGATAAAATTTCTGAGACAAATGACCTAGAGGTAGACCTGGACTACATTATGGACGGAGGGCAGGCCTTGGAAATGCCTGAGAAGGAATTCAGAAAAATGCTTATAAAATGTTTCAAGTCAATTATGATTCATAGCAACCCTGTATATAGTTTCCAAGGCCGTAAATCTTTACAGGAGCAGCAGAAAGTCTCATTTTCCTCTCCTGGAGCAGCTGATGGGTTGAAATGCAGTCTAGTGCTTATCGGACAGCACAACCAGGACTATTTTTATAAATTAGTCCTGATTTTAAATGGAGAAACAACTTACATCACTTCTTTATTCCTACGAGGCCCTTCAAATGGTCTAAATGGCAGGGATCCAGTAGCTGCATGGTAAAATGTTACCCCGATGCTCCAAAGATCTACTGTTGCTCCATATTTCTTCTGGTGATCTTTCCTTAACACTGCTCTTTCATACATGTCAGGATGCTAAAAACGAAAAGAAAAGGTCTTTTAAGCGATTAAGTTCTGATCTCTTGTAATACATTACACAATGAGTACTCAATAATGCATATAAATTTTATCATGTTTTCCTAATAAATTCACTTTCCCAGTCTCCTTAAACCTCTACCATTACCTCCTTTAGCACTTAATTTTGACCTTATTTCATACCAGGAAATGGAAGCAATCAGAGATCAACTCTCATTTATGCCCATTACATAATACCAACCTACTTGCATCTGATTCATACTCCAGGCTACTTTCTAGTTACAACAGAATCGAACCAATCATGTGCGTGACAGAGTCCATCATAGGAGTGCATTCTCACCAAATCCCGGAATAACTTCATACTACTTACTCCTGGTGTGGTGCTGTAGGGTAAACAATGGACTTCTAGCCACAAGGTTGGTGGTTCAAACCCACTACCCACTACTTGAAAACCCTATACAGGGTGGTTGTAAGTCAGAATTGACTCAATGGCATTTAACAACAATGTTACTCTTTTTATTTTATTAAATTTTTATTGTGATTGAATTAGGTTTACAGACAAGATCATCAGCTTTACATTCAACAAATCATACACCTTGTTTCATTTGCATGTTTATGACATCTTCCATACTCTTTTTATTTTATACATTAAATTTACTGATTCTATTTGGTCATTCCTATCAGCTCATAAGCATGGTGTGTTAATACTAGGTGCAAGTGAGTCAGTTTCAATTCACAGTGACCCTATGTACAACAAAATGAAATGTCACCTGGTCCTGTGCCATCCTCACAATTGCTGCTATACTTCAGTCGAGTATTGTTGCTGCCACTGTGCCAATCCATCTTGTTGGGGGGAGGGTATCCCTTTTTCTCTGTTCTTCCACTTTAGCAACCATAATGTCCTGCTCCAAGGACTGGTCCCTCCTGATAATATGTCCAAAATATGAGAGACAAAATCTGGCCATCTTGACTTCTAAAGAACATTCTGGTTGTACTTCTTCCAACACAGATTTGTTTATTATTCTTGCAGTCCATGGTACCTTTAATATTCTTCTCCAGCACTAGAATCTAAAAGCACCAATTCTTCTATGGTCTTCCTTACTCACTGTACAACTTTCATATGCATATGAAGCTATACAAAATAGCATGGCTTGGATAAGGCACACTTTAGTCTTCAAACTGATATATTTTTCTCCTAATGCTAAACATCAACTTGATTTCAGAACTGCAGCTTCCATGAGTGCTAATGGTAGATCCAAGTAAAGTGAAGTCTTTGACAACTTCAATCTGCTCACCATTTTTCATAATGTTATTTACTAATCCAGTTGTGAGGATTTTAATTTTCTTTTCTTTACACTGAAATGCATCCCAAACTGAAAACTGTATACTCTTTGATCTTCATCAGTAGAGAACTTTTAAGTCCTCTTCACTTTCAGCAAGCAAAGTTGTATCATCTGCATATTGCAGGTTGTTAATGAATTTTCCTCAAATCCTGCTGCCACGTTCTTCTTCATATAATCCAGCTTCTTGGATTATGTGCTCAACATACAGAACGAATAAGTATGGGGAAACAATATTTGGCAAACATCTTTCCTGAATTTAAATCACTAAGTGTCACCTTGTTCTGGTTGAATGACTGACTGCCTTTTGGTCTATGTATAGGTTCCTCATGTTGTTGCTGTTGTCATGTGCCGTGAGGTTGGTTCCAACTCATAGTGACCCCCTGTATAGGGTTTCCGAAGCTGTAAATCTTTACGGAAGCAGAAAGCCTCATCTTTCTCCAACAGAACAGCTGGTAGATTTGAACTGCTGACCTTGTGGTTCGCATCCTGATTCGTAACCACTATGCTACCAGAGCTCCTTACAGGTTCCTCATAAGCACAATACTCATTCTCCACAGTTCCCACAATATTCTTCAGCTATCTCTCAACTCTCTGCTTTCTACCATAGAAAACCTCTCAAAATATCTGTTAAAAACTTTATCTTGCTAGAACAAACAAGATGGCGGATCGGGTGGAAGTGCAGTAAAGAACTCCATCAGCAACAACACAGAATACCCGACCACGCAGGCTCAGGGGATGGTCCCAGAACTCTGAACCACATATAAAGGAGTATTTAGAAGGTTGGAAGGTGAAGGCTTACAGCTGGGGGAGTTTTGGTAGAAGCAAGAAATCCATTGCTTTCTACTCCGGGATGCTCAGCTGCTCTAGGAGCTGCCATCTTGGATAAGACCAAGCAGGGAAGGATCGGAGAGGCCACAGACGCCTGGCAGAACCACAGAGATAAAAGTGTAAGTGTGAATATTCTTCTCTTTTGGTAGGTGTTCATTGGTCCCTTGCTGTCTGCGCACCTCCATTCTGGTGACTATAGGGGTGCCTGAGCTAGTGGGCACCCCAGCCCCACCCTCGGAGGGTTCTACTACGCATGCGCACAGATCTCCTCGAAATTTAAAAGAGACAGTTTCCAATTAAAACCAAATGGCCACAGCCAGCCCTGAACTGTTTCCAACTAGATAAAAGGCCTGAACGGGGATTGTAGAGCAGGACAAGCAGACAAAAAAGGAAATAAGCTGAAAATTAAATCCTAAATTATGTCAAAATGACCAACAGTGGCAATTTGAAATTTCTCAAGAAGAAGAACAAAAAGGGAAGCCCATTTCCTGATCATATCTACCTGGAGGCAATCAGAAAGCATAAAAAATACTAACATACACACCCATCTAAGTATTAAGGCCACAGATAACCCCTGAATATGTCCAAAAACCAGAAACAGATGACGATATCTGCACATGTCCAGAAACGAGATAAAGTGACTGAGGCAAATGAGCTGGAAGTAGACCTACACTCCATACTGGAAGACAGGCAGGCCTTAGAAATGCCTGAGAAGCAATTCAGAGAAATGATTATAAAATGTATCAAAATACTATATGATGGAGTTGAAAAAAATAAGGAAGAAGTCAGAAAAGCGCTACAGGAACAATCAAATAAGATAGATACAGCATTGGAAATAATTCAAAACCTACAGAAAGAGGTCCAAATGATCAATATTAGAATATCAGAAACAGACAATACACTGAAAGGGCAAAGGAGCAGAACTGAAGAGATAGAAGCCAGAACTAGTAAGCTAGATGAATCTCTCAACACTACTAAGATAGAAGAACAAACACAAAAAAGGATAAAAAATCTGAAGAAGGCCTATGATTCATACTGGATAATATGAAGGGGAATAATATAAGAATTATTGGCATCCAGAACAGGAACAATCACATGAGTCCACAGAAGAGATAGTTGAAGAACTTCTGGAAGAAAATTTTCCTAGCATCCTGAAAAGTGAAAAGATAAGTATTCAAGAAGCTCAAAGAACCCCAGGAAGGATAGACCCTAAAAGACAATCACCAAGACATATAATAATCAAGCTCTCCAAAATCAAAGATAAGGACCGGATCTTGAAAGCAACTAGGGAAAAGAGAAATATAACATACAAATGCAAGCAAATCAGATTAAGCTCAGATTTCTCAACAGGAACCATGCAGGCAAGAAGGCAATAGGAAGAGATTTATAAAACCTTGAAAGAAAAACACTGCCACCCAAGAATCCTCTACCCAGCAAAGCTGTCAATCAAATA